CTCACCACGCCTGGGGCCCAGTGCGGGCACGTCCCGATCACCTAGTCCCCGGCCCTCACGCCAGCATTTACTTTTCCTTCAGTCTTCTTCCACCTGGCTTCAAGTGCTATCTTCAGGCTTTCAAGGGTCGTACAGCGCCGATGACCGATACCACATTTACAGCCCACACAAGATCATTCCCTCTCCCTATCTCTAGAGACGTACAGATGTAAGAAGAACCTTCAACATAGCCCTCGACTTTACTACTGATCACTGGACTGTCTTTGCTGCAAAGAGTGAACGCACGACAGTCACTATTACAAAGAGGTAAAGCAGCTGCTAGAACCACCTTTTATTCAAGTTTTACAACTTGCAAGCATTGCAGATCTTTGCAAAAACACCATCTTTCTCCTAACCTAGTAAGCGTTCATTTAGAATTCAGTAACACCATATCCACCCTAACAGGTAGGCCTTTTCCCCTTGGGTACACTGATTAAGAAAGTTAAAGCATCATTCCTACTGTAAAACCACTTTTGAACTTCTAGTGAAAACTATAAAAACGTACCTGGGAAGGCGATGGAACCTCTATACTTAAGTTAAGTCTTGATTTCAAACTGACAGGAGAATGCAGACCATTCCATTTCACTGAAGACTCAGCTTTGCTAGTAACAGGACTGACAGTTGATGTCAGATGTGTAGAACAAGATGGCAATAAACTGCAAGTTCTAGAGGCAGATGCTATCTCGAGATCCACAGCAGCCAGAAATACTACAATTAAAACACAGGAAACACATACAATAGTCTCTGCAGAGCACCTGGGGAAAACAACGTTTCACGAGTACCCTTTAGTCCCCACAGTGGAAAGGGGCAAAACTCTGCTACTGGCTCGTCCTAATTAAGAATGTAATTTGTTTCTTAAAAATCATATCCTGCCATGCCAGGCGACTCAGGCTGACTCCCTGCCCAAGGACGTAAGCACGCCAAAGCGAGGGCCACGCAGACAAACCCACCTTCCTTGTGCTCCTCCTCTGCGGATTTCTTAGCTTTCTGAACTTGGAAGAGGTCAATGACAGAGTGTGGCCCCCCAGAGAAGTGGCTGGACTGTGCCGACGGGCGACCGGGACACGAAGGAGGGGTCTGATGAGTCGGAACCAACAGATTCACATGAATCCCAACCTAAACCAGAAGAAAGAACACATGTTTCTAGGAAAATTAAAGTGAAAATATTAGTTCACCTAAGCAAGGTTCTCAGCTTATCTGTTATACCATATTGTAGATCCTGGTTTTAGAATAATGGGATAAATGAAAGTACGCAAACAGAAATAACAGCTTTTATATATAATTTATATGATTTCTAGGGAATCCAGTGAGCAGTTATTCATCTCAATCTTACATCATCCAAGTCTACCCACATGTCCCACAATCTCTTTCAAATCAGAAAATCCAAACAAGCAGAATATCGCGTCCACTGGCGCCCCAGTCAACTGAGGTTTTAAAGGAGGATTTTTTTTTTTTTAAACTGGGGACAGTGTACTTGACAATCTGACTTATCATTTTTCTTTTTACAATGTACTTTGCAAATAAAACAACCAGGATGTACGGGCGGTGGGTACGCTGTAGGTATCCGTACAGATAACTTCCCCCTTCCTGTAAAACTCCATTACACCCGTATTTCAGGGAGCAGTTTTAATCGTGGAGGGCTTAATGACTTGGTAATCCCTCCACAAAACCCGCACCAGGCCACAATCTACCCTTGTGTGTAAGTGCACACAGCTGAACCTACAAACGTTAAGCTTTAACTAAGACAGGAAGCTGGAGGTGCTGCGTTTTTCCTGCCCTCTTCCCTGTCTGGGCAAGGCACATACACCCCCGCCCCCTCCCGAGCATCACTCTGCCGACATCAGAGAATTTCTGGTTAAAAAGGACCTCGCAGGTATACAAATATTTACAGATTCACACTCCATATAGTCCCATCTGTACTTCTAGCGGAGAGAGAACAGGAGGAATAAAATGATGCAGTAAATAAATTCTCAGTTAATTTTTAAAAAAAGGTACTATAAATAGCCAAGATATAATTACTATTCTAGGCAGAAAACGAGAGAGACTTCAGAACAAATCTGACTCTTTTCTAAAGTAAACAGAATCAGGTCAAATGAGAAAGTCAGAAGTGTTTCTCCTTCTTTTCTCCCCGGACGCCATCAAAGGAGCCGAAGACCTTCACATAAACCCCTCCCTGCCCCACCCCGACCATTCTCAGACCAAGCCTCCAATGAGAAAGTCAGAACTTGAAATTTTCATATACTCACCCCTCTCATATCCGATATATTCAGTTTCATTGTATGAAACATGTTTAGTACAGCCTTTCCAATGATCTTTGCACTATCTGTGGCCTGGTCAAGAGTTACAGTCCTGTAAATGATATAGTTATTTTTTTAAAGGAAGAAGATCTACATTCGGTACATATTCGCCAGTCCCTCCCAGTAGTACAGAAGTGTTTAGAGTCATAGAAAGCTTGTAAAGAAAGGTACAAAATAGGAGGCCAGTAATATGAAATTAACGGCACTGTCAGCAAGAAAAAATAGAAAACCCACATAGAACACTGGGACTTTCAGGGAAAAAAATCCAATGGAGACTTCGCCAACTAAAGTTGAGAAATTTTTAAAAAGGACAAATTTGAGTTAATTCATATACAACTATATGCCTAATACGTTGTGACTACAGCATAAATATCCCATGGACGGCCACAAGAAGAAAACAAATCTAACTGGAAGAAGTACAACCAGAACGCTCCTTAGAAGCAAGAATGGCGAGATTACGTCTCACGTACTTTGGACATGTTACCAGGAGGGATCAGTCCCTGGAGAAGGACATCACGCTTGGTGAAGTAGAGGGCCCGCAAAAAAGAGGAAGACCCTCAACGAGATGGACTGACACAGTGGCTGCAACAATGGGCTCAAGCATAAAAACAACTGTGAGGATGGCGCAGGACCGGGCAGTGTTTCGGTCTGTTGTACACGGGGCCGCTATGAGTCGGAACCAACTCGACCTCGATGGCACCTAACAACAACAACATACATGGTCAGCACTGTTGGTTCCAAGAAAATTTTAGGTTCTAAGCTTATCTATGTGGTGGCACAGTTAACATTCAGGAGAGAGAGACGAGTTCCCTGGATTTCAGTTTCTGCCTAATCCTTTTACATTATGTTTCAAGTAAAGCCAAAGTTTATTTTCAACATGTCAACACACTCATTGCAATTCTACGCTAGTCTCAAAGGCTCTCTAAATGGATAAAGAAGTATGTGATGAAGTTCATATGACAAAGAAAATACACTGGAATCCTCTGTCTAAAGCCCAGAGGAACTAAATGTGTGATTCTGAGATCTTTAAGGAGGACCAGAGGACCCACCAGGATCACTTCGTGTCAAGAGGGCACTGCACCCACCCACCAGCTCCTTCTGGGCTCCTCTGGCAGAAGCAGCACATCCCTCTGCAAAAAAGGTCCCTGCAGCTCCTGCTTTCCCTGGAGCCCATTTAGTCCACTCATGGTGGATGGGGCAGAGATTCACACCACTGACCACCTGCCCTCCCAACCAAAGAACCAACAATAAGCAGATAGCCAGTCTGAAACATCATCACATTGATTTTCACCTAAGATACAGGAATTCTGGCTGGTTAATATTTGGTTTTTCAAAAATGACACTTCCCGTATTTTCTTTAGTTACATGAGGACATGATGTACTCATCTATGAAATGTACCCAGTTTTTCTAAGGAAACCATTTGCAAAATATTTTACTGGTTTATTACCAAATAATTGCCTTAAACTTCTTTCACACAGATAATACGCTAAAGAATAACTTAAGGCAAGATTTTTAGCTCAACATGGTGATCTGCGCACATGTATTTATCTTCATTTCTTTCTAAAACCCCGCTAAACTGACTGGCAATAATTTTAAAAGGTATACACTCTTAAGAGAGAGATGGGAGAGGAGACAAGAGTAGAAGTGAATGTTAAAACCATACTTTGGAATGCTAAAGGCAAATCAGTAAACAGTAAGTTACCAATGCCTTCTAAATGCCTGGAGCAAGACGCCAACTAGAGACAAGCCAGTTTACACTACAGAACCTCAGAAATGCTCAGGAATTAGTGGTGTCCGGGATCTATGAAGGGAGGGCTGGAGAGAGGGGCTGAAAATGTGCAAGAGAAACAGACCCAGAGATCCCCTCCCTCAGAAGCTGACACAGAGGCTATCCACATTATCCATGGATATCAGCAAGAGCAGAGGAAAGAAGTGGGCGGCTTTACTCAAAAGAACAGAAACCTTGGCCCAACCAGGCTCTTTTTCCCATTCACTTACCAGAATGCTAGCTGCCATCCTTGTATTGTCCCACCTACCCCGGGGGCAATTCTACTCTGGAAAAAGAGACAGCAGATCTAACAACTGTTTTGGTACATCAGAGACCAGGGCCCTGCAACCACCCACCTCATGGTGAAGCCCAGTGGTCTACACACCCCTCTAAGAACTGAGGCGCCCAACAACTTTTGAGCAGTTCACACAGGAACAGACGGCCAAGGACGACTATACAGATATTTGAAGAAAGCCTCCATCACAAAAGACAGCAGCTAAAACAAACAGGAAAAAAAGAACGCAGAGAAGTAGAGATGACACCCGAACTAGAAGAGAATTTAAGAGAGAATATTGCAACTAAGAAGTAAGACAAAGATACTGTAAGTGTTTATCCAAAGAACCCCTCCAGAGGCTCTCAAATTAAAAACGTTAATAGAAATAAATTTAATACTGATCAAGTGCTGAGACTAATGGCAAAGACCAAAGCTTAAAATTCAAAACACCTGTGACAGAATATCCGGAAGGTCCCAGAGAGAAAGAACAGGTCTCCAACAAAGGCGATCCTAAGAGCCTCTATATTTAAAACCTAAAGTCAGCTGACTATTAAGCATGAGGGTAGACACAGGATAAAAACAATTTACCTCTATACATTTCTTTCTCAAGAAGACATTATATGCTTCAATAATTAAGAGAGTAAACGAGAAAGAAGGAGACCAACGATCCAACAGAGATCACAGAGAAGGGACATCCCAGGACCCCAAACTCTGCAGTAGTCTTAAAATAAAACCAATCTGGATTGGAGTAGGCCTCAAGGGAGGTGTCCAAGAAAACATATTAAAGCGATAGATTACCTGATGTATTCAAACACACTGGAAGGGAGTTTAGGAATCAACTCAATGAAAGGTTCACAAAAAAGCAAACAAACCAAACAAGGTGCTTACTTACTCAGGACTAAGAAGTTCAAAAGGGAGGGAAACGTGAACAGAGTACTGTACACGCCCTGTGGCTCAGCTGTGGGGAGTGGAGATGTGATCAGGATAATGGAACACTAGGTAGTGATTCAAACAAAAGCTGACAACCTTCTGAGGGGCCAGGGAAACATGCAGACAGGGGAAGCAGCAATTAACAATGGAAGGGAAAAGAAAATCAATCTTCACTACCGTTTCAGGATACAAGATAAACATACAAAAATCAGTTGGATTCCTTTACACCAACAAAGAGAACCTCGAACAGGAAACCACCAAATCAATACCATTTACAATAGCACCCAAGAAGATAAAATGCTTAGGAATAAATCTAACCAGAGATGTAAAAGATCTATACAACGAAAACTGCAAGACACTACTGTAAGAAACCAAAAGAGACGTGCATAAGTGGAAAAACATACCTTGCTCATGGACAGGTAGACTCAACATTGTGAAGATGTCAATTTTACCCAAAGCGATTTACAGATACAATGCAATCTCAATCCAAATTCCAATGGCATTTTTTAATGAGATGGAGAAACAAATCACCAACTTCATATGGAAAGGTAAGAGGCCCCAAGTAAGTAAAGCATTACTCAAGAAGAAGAACAAAGTGGGAGGCCTCACGCTACCTGATTTTAGAACCTATTATACCGCCACAGTAGTCAAAACAGCCTGGTACCGGTACAACAACAGATACATAGACCAGTGGAACAGAATTGAGAATCCAGACATAAATTCATCCACCTATCAGCAGCTGATATTTAACAAAGGCCCTAAGTCCGTTAATTGGGGAAGACAGTATCTTTAACAAAATGTGCTGGCATAACTGGATATCCATCAGCAAAAAAACTGAAACAAGACCCATACCTCACACCATGCACAAAAACTAACTCAAAATGGATCAAAGACTTAAATATAAAATCGAAAATGGTAAAGATCATGGAAGAAAAAACAGGTGCAACACTAGGATCCCTAATACATGGCATAAACACAATACGAACCATACGTAGCAATGCACAAGCACCAGAAGAGAGACTAGGTAAATGGGAGCTCCTAAAAATCAAACACTTATGCTCATCAAAAGACTTCACCAAAAGAGTCAAAAGACAACCTACAGACTGGGAAAAACTTTTTGGCTACGACAAATCCGACCTGCATCTAATCTCTAAAATCTACAAGATACTACAAAACCTCAACAACAAAAAGACAAATAACCCAATTAAAAAACGGGCAAAAGGTATGAACAGGCCCTTCGCCAAAGAAGATATTCAGGCGGCTAACAGACACATGAAGAAATGCTCACGATCATTAGCCATTAGACAACTGCAGATCAAAACTACAATGAGATATCATCTCACCCCAACAAGGCTAGCACTAATCTTAAAAACACAAAATAATAAATGCTGGAGAGGTTGTGGAGAGACTGGTACACTTATACACTGTTGGTGGGAATGTAAAATGGTACGACCACTTTGGAAATCGATTTGGCGCTTCCTTAAAAAGCTAAAAATAGAATTATCATAGGATCCAGCTATCCTGCTCCTTGGAATATATCCTAGAGAAATAAGAGCCGTCACACGAATAGATATATGCACACTCATGTTCACTGCAGCGCTGTTCACAATAGCAAAAAGAGGGAAACAACCTAGGTGTCCATCAACGGACGAATTGATGAACAAATTATGGTATATCCGCCCAACAGAATACTCTGCAATGATGAAGCTGTGAAACATCTCATAACATGGAGGAAGCTGGAGGTCATCATGCTGAGTGAATTTAGTCAGTCACAGAAGGACAGATATTGTATAAGACCACTATTATAAGAACTCAAGAAATGGTTTAATCACAGAAGAAAACATTCTTTGATGGTTACAAGGGTGGGGAGGGAGGGGAGGGTTATTTACTAACTAGATAGTAGATAAGAGTTACCTTAGGTGAAGGGAAGGACAGCACTCACTACAGGGGAAGTCAGCACAACTGGACGAAACCAAAGCCAAGAAGTTTCCTGAATACAATCAACAATCAAACACTTTGAGGGACAGAGTAGCAGAGGTAAGGGTCTAGGGACCATGCTTTCAGGAGACATCTAGGTCAACTGGCATAACAAAGCTTATTAAGAAAATGTTCTGCATCCTACTTTGGTGAGCGGCGTCCGAGGTCTTAAAAGCTTGCAAGTGGCCATCTAAAATGCATCAATTTGTCCAAACTCACCTGGAGTAAAGGAGAATGAAGAACACCAAAGACACAAGGAAAGTAGTAGTCCAAGAGACAGAAAGGGCCACATAAACCAGAGACTCCATCAGCCTAAGACCAGGGGAACTAGATGGTGCCCGGCTACCACCGACAACTGCCCTGACAGGGAACACAACACAGAATCCCTGAGGGAGCAGGAGAAAGGTGGGGTGCAGAACTCAAATTCTAGTAAAAAGACTTAATGGTCTGAGACTGGAGGTACCCCGGAAAGCATGGCCCCTGCATTCTCTATCAGCCCAGAACTAAAACAATTTCCGAGGCCAAGTCTTCAGACAGGGATTGGACTGGACTGTGGGACATAAAGTGATACTCGTGAGGAGTGTGCCTCTTGGCTCAAGTAGATACAAGAGACTAAACGTCAGCTTCTGTTCGGAGGTGAGATGGGAAGGCAGAGAGGGTTAAGAGCTGGTTGAATGGACATGGGGAATGAGGGGTGGAAAGGAGGAGTGTGCTGTCACAGTATGGGGTGAGCAATTAGAGTCACGTAACAATGTGTGTATAAATTTTTGTATGGGAAAAGAAAAAAAACACGAAGGAACCCCACAGTGAAAAAGTTTTTCCAATGTGGGAGGAAAAAAAACTGCTCTAAGAAAAATTTCCCTAAGTGAAAATCAAACCACAGCTCTCATCTACATGTGGCTCTGTGACATACAATTTACCACCTGTCATTTCCATTGAAGTATCTGAATGCATCAGAGGCTGAGAACCACGTGACTGCCATGTTTTTAGATTAGTGCCAATTATGAGATTACGAAGTTATGAAATACGGAGTTATCACTTCTTAGTCAACCAAACGTCAGAGTCCGCAATTTCTTTCTGTAAAGGGCCTGAGAATAAATATTTTTAGCCCTGCAGTCTCTTTTGCATATTCTTCTTTGTTCTGTACAAACCTTTTTATAAAACCTGTCTGCAGCTCACAGGTCATAGAGAAACAGGCTACAGGATGGATTTGGCCATGGGAAGTAGTTTCCCAACCCCTGAGTAGTGGAAATATGAGGTCAGTGTAAAGTAGCCCTGGTGGCACAGTGGTTAAGCGGTCAGCTGCTAACCAAAAGGTCAGCGGTTCGAGAAAGATGTGGCAGTCTGCTTCCTTAAAGATTACAGCCTTGGAAACCCTATGGGGCCATTCTACTCTGTCCTGCAGGGTCACTGTGAGTCTCAACAGACTCGACGGCAATGAGTTTAGTTTTCTGGTTATTACGATCAGCGACCTGAAGCATTTCTTATGAAGTTATGTCACCAAAATGTTAGGGGTAAGTAAAAGGCTTAAGAGTTGACCTACACCTTGGAAACATTTATGAAGTCACACTTGTTTCTATTAATTATGTACTCCTTTGGCCTCTATCCTGTCTCGTCCGAAGTTAGTATTTTAGGGGTGCAGCAGAGTGTATGCTTTGTTTCCAGCAACGCATGGCAGATTCTGAACTGTCCTGTATTTATTAAACGAGGAGTCGTTACTGCGTTAAACACCAACATATTCATGGAAGAAATGATACGGTATCCGAGGTTTGCTTCAAAATAACTGGGGCGGTGGGGGAAGGATGGCATGGGGTAGCTATGAAACCAGAGTGATCAATGTTGAAACAAGATGATTAGGTACATGGAGGTTCTGTATACTGTTCTTCCTTACTTTGTATATATTTAAAATTCTCAATGAAACATTTAGGTTTAGGACACAAATGGAGCTATCTCCAATTATTACAGTAAGCAGGTATGTTTAAGAAAAAGCTGAATGAATATTATCCTTGAACAGGGAGGGGATGATAAAGTATCATTAATTCTAATATTTTAATTGCTATAATTAGATTTCTGGAGTACTTGGATTCTCCCAAAAAGGATTAAACAAAGACTGATTATCTTATTAAGATTAGCCGTCTCACTGCTGTCAGCCCTTAGGTACTGCTGAGTTCACCCCAATGTACGAGGCTAACTAACTATCAGGTCTTTAAAAACGCACACACAGGGGCAGGGGAGGGGCGGGAAGGGACCCGAGTTACTCCAGTTGCCTAGCCCAAGGACAATCATTTAACTTTCCCGATGATCCTTCCCATGTATCTTCCTGAAACTCTGCAGTTCCTCTTTCCATGCATGCTTAGGCCAAGGAAAAGGTAGGCAGAAAACGGGTGAGATTCAGGGTCAATGGATTATAGTAGTTTGTTACCGGTCTAGATGAAAAAGAATGATAGCTTTTTGGGGGGAGCTTTATATAAACAGTATGATTTAAGACTACAGGAATACATGGAAGATTATTCAGAAAGTCAAAGACAGAATAGCTGACAAATTAATTTGGGACAAAAGAACAATTTTATTAGTTCCAGGCCTTAAAATAATAGATATTCTCAGAAAAGATGTTATAAATTAGATCTGATTTTTCCCACAGAAACTTTGTTTAAAAAGATAATTATATTCCTGAGTAAGGGCCTAGTAATCACCTTACTGTAATAATGACCACTAACACTGTATTCAATGAACTATCATTGGAAATATGTGCACATTATAATTTATTAAAACAGGTAACTGTAACAGTTCAGACAACCATAAATTTACTTTATCAATTATGTTTTTGAGTTTGTAATTCCTAATCCCTGTTTTAGGGTGAACAAGCGCACGCAGGATTAAACTGGACATTTTCCGTGTTTGACGGCAGCTCTCACTGCTCTCAGCAATATCACCACATACACAGATATAACATACATGGTTGGCACGCACTAACCCTGAATTAAATTGTTCTCATTCCTTGTATGTCACGTCAATGTCAAAGTCTCAAACCTTCGGTCTGACGGACAGATAAACACAGTGTACTGTGTCACATAAAATAACACACAAATCTTATGTCAAGTTTTTTATCAGTGGCCGCCACATCAAAACAGGGTTTTCAATGCTGTCCAGCAGTTTTCAGGGACCACAGTGACTAACCGATTCACAAATAGAAACTATACCTACCTCAATGAATCAGATGTCTCATTCAAATCACTGTTTAAAGTACTATACTGTACTGACATTTCCCTCAGGGACAGTGTTACCAAGGCACAAAACTACGACGGTCTCTCCGCGTGCAGGTGTGGTCTCCCCCTTCTCTTCTGCCCATGCACTAAAGAACACACCAAGAGGCTGACCTCCTGCTATGCTGTGCTTGTCATCGGCTGAACAGGAGTGCACTGACATAAACGGCTTTGGGCTAAGGCCTTTCTTCAAACTCTTCCTGAGTTTTCTTCCTTGAAAATTAACTGTAATAACCTGCACTGAAATATAATTGCAATACTGTTTGCAAAATCGGCTTACCTGTTAATGTTATCGCAAATTCCATGGCCTCCAAATTTTGCAGGTTCTAGAGGGGCCCCCGGCTTTCGCACCATGATTTTGAGAGTCAGCCGCCTACCCTTCACGCCGGCAGCTTCAAGCCGTCTTTGAATTTCTTCTGAAAGACTCAAAAGAAAAGCTTCTGCTTCTTTTGGCTAGGAAAACAGAAACATGGAAAAACTTCCATGTTAACTTCCTATATGCCTAACTTTTAATATTAAGCATGTCTATTATTTACTATCTTGCTAAGCTTCTATTAAAAAATAAACACTCTGTATACCCATTTTCCCAACCAAGCAGAAGTGATGAGTACCTTTAAAGAAGTTATTCATTCTTGCTTTTTTATGCTGTCACTTTTCTGTTACAAATTGTTGTACTTACATTATTACAGTAAAGCGTCAATAAAATGTGCTTTTGTCAATATCGTACTCTATTTCTATGTATGGAGCGCTGGTGGTGCAGTGGTTAAGAGCTCAGCTGCTAATCAAAAGGTCGGCAGTTGGAATCCACCAGCCGCTCCTTGGAAACCCTATGGGGCAGTTCTACTCTATCGTATGGGGTGGCTGGGAGTCGGAATCAACTCGACAGCAACGGGTTTGGTTTTTTGGTTCTTATTCCTAAGCGCAGCCCAAGCACCGTCTCCATCCTTAAGGAAACGCGAATTGCTGAGTTACAAGGACTACGCACCATGGGGAAATGAGAGGACCAATCAGATTTCAAATCCTCATGGGATGGTGTTTTTTTTTTTTTTTTGTAATATAAATTCCTAGAGACATAGCCAAACCCAAACATATATTTCAAAGGAAAATGAAAACTATTCAATTATCTGTGCCACTACTTTTTTCCATAGGCACAGACAACTGGAAGTTAGCTGAAACTTACTTTTAACCACAGCTTAAAAAGTATTTCAACACGAAATACATTTTCTGGTCCTTTTCTCCCCCTTCACTAGAAATTAGAATAATTATGTAATCTAAAATTCGGTAAGAATTAATCCTAAAGGCACAACTGTTTCGTACCTTTCCCCAAGATGTGGGTTCCCTCAGTCTTATCCAAGGGCTATGTCTGACCATACACTGCCTCAAGAGACCTTCCTGAAGCTTTGGAAACACAAAGAATTTGAACACACAACTTCAAGCATAAAGGGCCTCACCGTGCACTTGGGAAGACGGGACTATGGGAAAGCACAAAGAACAACATGTGGTAAAATCCCTAAGAGATCAGCACCTGGGTAAACCTTATTCCATAGTTGATCTCCGCTGAGATAGATTTTCTTTCCTTTTCAGTTCGAACTGGTCGATCATCCAAACCACGGCAGAACCTATAAAGCATTTGACCTGTTTTGGGACCAAATTCTTTTTGGAGTTTTGCCATGGTCATATATTGCAAGTCTCCACATGTTTTAATTCCCAAAGATGTCAACTTGGATTCCATCGAATGTCCAACTCCTAGGAAAGGAGATATACATACAGTTGTTTAATTTTGCAGATAAATAAAAACAATCTTAGCAATGTGCAATAACTATCATTAATGCAAAAACTTTAAAATAATCCCTTAAAATCCCTGTTAAATGACATAACTGAAGCATTTTAAAGATTAGAGATTTTTTTTTAGTGTAAAATCATGCTAATCGTGTTATTTCTAGAATCTAGTTCTCAATTTGGACTCCACGTATGGTAAAGCAGAAACTTCTCAAATATGTACGTCTAAAATAAGTTACCAAAAGAATGTGATTTTTATTTCTCACTCAGTACCAAGATTTCTATCTTACTCACAAAATCAACTCATTAAGTGATGTTGTTAGTTGCTGTCGAGTTGATTCTGACTCCTAGCGACCCCAAGTGTGCAGAGCAGAACTGTTCCATAGGGTTTTCCAGGCTGTGACCTTTCAGAAGCAGATCGCCAGGCCTGTCTTCCCAGGTGCCTCTGGGTGGGTATGAAGCACCAACCTTTCCGTTAGTAGTCATGCACTTCACCATCTACACCACCTAGGAACTCCTGATTAAGTAAGACACGACCACTGGATGGGCCAACCAGTGTGACGTCCAGGCGGCCCAGCAGACCGCAGAACATGAAGGACTCTACTCTGATTTTGGTGATGAGCCAACTCCACGATGGTTTCAGCTGCATGTTCTTTGAATGAGAACTAAAACAAGAACTTCTGATAGAGGTCTAAACCCTGAAATTCACTTACTGTCGGACTGGACAAAAGTAGTAACAATGACTCAGAGATGAAGGTCCGTATGCAAACAGACTGGGGGCTGGGGGAAGACAGAGACTGCTGTTGTCAACAAAGGTCAGCTCCCTGAGAAGGGCCTAAGCTCCCTGCAGCTGAGCCAGCATTCAGCAGTCCCTGTGCTATACTCCAACAGGTGCAGGGTTCTCAGCCTCGCCCAAAGGACGCTGATGAGTTCTGCTGACCTAGGCTGGGGCCTCACAAGTTTTCCTCTATTTGCCCTAAAAGCTTATAAAAGGTATGCATATCTAGGAAAGAACTTCAGATAGGGAAAAACAGTTATTTATCAATATGGTCTCCACATCATCAAATAAATATATCTCACCAATGAGAAAAAGACCATTTGTGTTTCTGGTCTTCTACAGGGAGGCACAGTGGTTAAGAGCTCGGCTGCTAACCAAAGGTCAGCAGTTTGAATCCACCAGGCACTCCTTGGAAACCCTATGGGGCAGTTCTACTCTGTCCTATAGGGTCACTATGAGTTGAAATCCACTCGACAGCAACAGGTTTTTTTTTGTTTTTTTTTTTTAAATAAGACAGAGTAGAACTACCCCAAAGGGTTTGCAAAGAGTGGCTGGTGGATTCCAACTGTGCCACCAGCGCTCCCATTAGCCATTAGAGAGATGCAAATCAAAACCACATTGAGATATCATCTCAGCCGTGCTAAAATGGCACTGATCAAAAAAACAGAAAACAACAAATGCTGGCGATGATGTAGGGAGATTGGAACTCTTATTATACTCTGCTGGTGGGAATGTAAAATGGTACAACCACTATGCAAAATGGTATGGCGCTTCCTCAAAAGACTAGAAATAGAACTACCTTATCATCCAGCAATCCCCCTCGTAGGTATATACCCAAGAGACCTAACAGAAGTGACATGAACAGACATGCACACCTACGTTCTTCACAGCACTAGTCCTAACAGCAAAAAGATGGAACAAACCTAAGTGCCCATCAACAGATGAATGGATAAATACAACGTGGTACACACGTACAATGGAATACCCTGCAGCTATAAGGAATACTGACGAGTTCTTGAAACATAACATGGATAAATCTGGAGGACATTATGCTGAGTGAAATAAGCCAATCACAAAAGGTCTGATCCCACTTTTATAAAAAGGTAAGAAGAGGTATACATACAGAAATCAACCTTCATTGGTGGTTACCAGGGATGGGAGGGGGAGAGGGAGGCATCACTCTCTAGACAGTAGACACTTGTTATTTTGGGTGATGGGAAAGGCAACACTGAATGTGGGTGAAGTGTGCACAACCTGACCAAGGTAAACGATGATGCTATGATGTACACAAGAATAAGGGCTGTTTTTGGTAAATGCTGTAACGTATACAATTCTGCAACCATAGCAATAACAACCAAAAATACCTGTGTGGTTACATACGTAAATATGTATGCATATACGTGTATGTTGTTGTTGTTAGGTGCCATCAAGTCAGTCCCGACTCACAGCGACCCTACGTACAACAGAATGAAACACTGCCCAGTCCTTTGCCATCCTCACAATCATTATGCTTGAGCTCACTGTTGCAGCCACTGTGTCAATCCATCTCCTTGAGGGTCTTCCTCTTTTTTGGTGACCCTCTCCTTTACTAATAAGCATGATGTCCTTCTCTCCAGGGACTGATCCCTCCTGATAAGATGTCCAAAATATGGGAGACGTAGTCTCTCCATCTTTGCTTTTAAGGAGCATTCTGGTTGTACTTCATCCGAGACAGATTTGTTCGTTGTTTTGGCAGCCCACGGTATATTCAATATCCTTCGCCAACAGGTATATGTGTGTATACGTGTGTGCACATACAGGTGAATCTATAGGCGTATACATATACATATATATACACACACACATCTATATATACACGTGTGTGCTGCACATAATATTCATATATAGAATAAACAATAAAGCACGTGGGGGCAGAGTTATAGATACTTCCTAGACATAAACAAACACCTCACAAGATTGGTTTACTGGGTTTGAAGGCTTAGGACCATTGTCTCGTGGAACAACTTGGTCAACTGGTGTAACATAATTCATAATTTTTTTGTTCTGTATTCTAGTTTCGTAAGTGGTGTCTGGGGTCTTAAAAGCTTGTGAACAGCCATCTACAATACACCTATTGGTCTCTACTTGTCTGCAGCTAAAGAGAAAAAAGGAAACAGACTCAAAGAAGAAACTAGTCTACAGGACTAACAGTCTACATGAACCATGGCCTCATCTACCCTGAGACCAGAAGAACTAGATGGTGCCTGGCTACCACTAACAACCATTCTGATCAGGGATACAACAGATAGTCCCCGATAGAACGGGAGAAAAATTTAAGACAAAAGTCAAATTCTTAAAGAAGGCCAGACTTAGTGGACCAGTTGACTAGAGGAACCCCTGAGACTATTGCCTGAGATACCCTTTAAACTTAGAATTGAAACCACTCCTGGAGGTCACCTTTCAGCTAAATAACAGATTGGCTCAGAAACTAAACAATATGACTCATGAGTACTGCACTCCTTTTTAAAAAAAAAAAAAAAAAAAAAAAATGAGCGATATGAGGCCAAATGGTCAACAGTTACCCTAAAGCAAAGATAAGATGGTAAGGGGGGCGGGGCAGGGAAACTAGATCAATGGAAATGAAGGAGAAGAGAAATAATGAGAACGCTGACACACTGTGACAATGTAACCGACGTCAGTGAACAGTACGTACAGAAACTGTTAAGTGGGAACCCTGATTTGCTTTCACCAAAAACACAATAAAATACTACATTAAAAAAAAAAGAAGAAAGTGGCTTAGCAGAGGAAGTCAATATTGCTACCTCAATCTTTCAGGCAGGGTTCCTGGGTGGTGTAAACAGTTAACATGCTCAGCTGCTAACCAAAAGGTTGGAAGTTCAAATCCACCCAGAGGTTGCTCAGAAGAAAGGCCTAGTGAATTTGTTATTAGAACTGTTTAAATTCTGTTGTCTAATAAGGTAATTTGCTAATTTGATTTTATAAAGTTAATTATTCTTAAAATTAAACCTCAAAATGTCACAATTCATACTCACTTCTGATACTAATACATTATGTTGTAAACTTTTTTTACTAGGGCGTCAGGGAGCTTTAAAACCACCCCACCATAAAATGCCATTTGGATCATTTAATGATTTATGGCCTTACAAGACAAATTTCTAAGTCAGTTCAGATCTATTTTTTTTAATTAGGCCTAAGAATATGAATCTAAAAACACTACTATATCTATTTTTAACGAACAAGTGGATAAAAAACTTTCATTATAAATATTCTATCTTGACCTTTCTCCACCACAAACATAAGGAAGCTTTGCAAAGCTGACACTGTCTGCTTTATAACAAATTTGAGAGGGTTATCTGAAAATAGTATCAAGAATTACTATTTGGCTTAGAGTAATTTCTTAGAAATAGATACCTACCATAGAAAGGAAGTTGAAATACTGGATAATTTGTGAAATAAACTGTCCTACACACACACCAAAAAAAATCTTAGATCTATTCAAGGCCCCCAAAAGATGAACCATCTGTCAGTTATAATTAATTATAATTTGATGATTTCTCCACAGAAAAGATTCTTATACATTAGGTTATTTTCTCTTTTTTAAGTTAGCCACATGGTAACTAAACAAAAAGATAAAATAACTAAATGTGCTTTCATTCAACCTCTAGAGTTAACAAAAACAAAATACTTTCATCTTTAGATTTTATTTTTCCTAATACAGCTCAAACATTTTCTACTTTTAAAATCATTTGTGCATTAAACTCAGAAAACTCTCTGCTATTAGTACTGCGGGCTGACTTTACAAAGAGAATGGACTCTCAAAATTTATCTTTGGCCTAGAAGTACGCCACATCAATTATGGGTTAAAGGACCAAAAGGCAATTTGACCATATTCCCTTTTCAACATTTCTTAGAGTTCCTTGATCTTGCTACTTGAGAAATAAAGTAAAACCCATGAAAAGCCAAATTAAAGTCTTGATAAATCAAGGTGATACTCATTGAGGAATTCTTAATTTTCATTTTCATGGTGCTCAAACGTAGCTTAAAATTTTTTTTTGACTTCATGTTTGGGAAAAGGGAGATATATTAGAAAACAATAGAAAGCACTAGTAAACCGTCTACAAGAAAGAGAACTTCGAAGGCTGTGCGTTTACCTGGCAGGTTAATAACCAGCTGGCCTCTGATAAAATCATCAACCTCTTCTGGCTTTAGGTGGTACTGCCCATCTGGCTTTGCTTTTCTAGTTGCCATTCTAGCCAGGAGGATATTAGATCCTAGAAAGTTAAAAAAA